AATAAAAACTGGACTCGCTAGGAAAAGATTAAGGGCAGGAGGGAAGAAGAACAAGTGGTGTTCAGGGTATTTGTATGAATGGGTTAAATTACCAAAACATTTGGAGCTTTTCTGAACACATGGCATATGTGGGTGGCAGTGTGGGAGTAATTTGGGAGTAAGGAAGGCTCTATTCTCAGATTGCATGCTGGAAAATCCTTAAAAAGGAGAAAACTCCACCAAAAATAACCCCTTTAAGTAGCTCTGTTTGGTTCAACTCTAGCAAGAAGGCACATGGATACGAATTGATGCCTATTTCTTAGTCTCTTCTAAATACAGTGCAAGCCTCTTCCAGTGTTGGTGGAACCCACTGCTGTGTTGGTGGGAGGCCTTTGCTGAGCGGAGGGCACTTCATTGCTAGAGACCTCTGAAAAGTGTTCCAAAATGTGTGGTTCCTTCTCCCAGTGCAATCCCTGGCAGGTCCTCTGCTGGTGCAAGATTGGGGCTATACATGGCAGTCTTTCTTCTTTAGCTGTCATTTAATTTCAGGCAAAGGAGAGCTCCTGTGTGTAGCTCTTGCAGCTGATGAGTGTGGGGCCTGCTGATAGGGACCCAGAGTTCTCATTTCAGGCTGGGGCTGATCTTTCAGCACATCTGAAAATTGGATGTTGGTACACGAACGCTTCATCCACTTCTTGCTGTTTGAGGTGTAAAACAATTTGCCGCCCACAGTTGCCATTTTCAACCCCCTTCTATGTCGAACTGAAACGTCTGGCTGTTTGAAAACGTGCACGTTTGCGCCTGGTAGACATCTACCACCCTGACTGTGGCATTTCCACTTGCTGCTTATTCCGAGACTTCCATGAATGCAGGAATTACCTCCAAGTAATTCTGCTCATCTCTGTTGCTTTTTACCCCTTTTGTTTCTTTTTGGTACAGTTTTATCTTGTGTGCCAGGAGTGAGTACCTCTTATCCCAGTGGTGCTGGTAGTGCACTACTCAGGCTTATGATCTTTTGCTCCTTAATTCCCTGGCCAGGCTCAAGGCTAACAGCTGTGGTTTTGTGTTGTACAGAATAGTGGGAGGTGAAATAAAATCTTCTTTGCTGATACTACCTGTCTGTTCTGTCTCCAGGTGGAGGATGCGCTGTCTTACCTTGACCAGGTGAAGCTGCAGTTTGGTAGCCAGCCACAGGTCTACAATGACTTCTTGGATATTATGAAGGAATTTAAATCTCAAAGGTAACAAGCTGTGGTTTGCTTCTTCCTTTCAGGTTAAAAAGAGGGTTTGTGGGCATGGGAGCACAGAGCAGGAGCTATACTCTGTCCTTGTGTGTACAGAGGAACACACCTTTAGCAGCAGTGTAAAAGCTGTTGTTGAAAGTTAAATGCATCCCTTCATTTATGCTAAATCTCTTCTTCAAGCAGGAGCTCACAACTTCAGCCTGATTCATCTGGTTGTCTTCCCATTAATAATGGTCACACTGGGTGCTAGATCTCATGGATACAAAATGCTGCCTGACCTGATAAGATAGTGTCGTTCTGAAGTTCAGTAGGGTATTCAGAGGAATCAGTTTTGCATTGTTTCATTGGTTAGAGGTGATAAAGGAACAACTAGAATGGAAAATTCCTGTGTGGAGAACTTGCTGTACCACTGAAAAGGTCTTGGAGGTTTGTGACATTTTGCTCTTCTTCCTTCTTCAGTATTGACACTCCGGGAGTGATCAGCCGTGTATCGCAGCTCTTCAAGGGCCACCCAGACTTGATCATGGGTTTCAACACCTTCTTGCCACCTGGTTACAAGATTGAGGTGCAGACGAATGATATGGTGAATGTGACAACACCAGGGCAGGTTCACCAGATCCCCACACATGGCTTGCAGCCTCAGCCCCAGCCGCAGCCGCAGCATCAGTCACAGCCTTCAGCGCAATCAACCCCGACACCAGCACAGCCAGCTCCACAGCCGCCTCCTGCCAAAATCAGTAAGGTGAGAGGCTTTGAGAAATGTACATTGATCACAGAGGGATCCTGCTGCCTCCAGCTGAACCTGGTGTGCAGCTAAAGAGCTTAAAAGGAATTTCCATGCTGCTTTTTTCATAGTATTTGTGAACCTGCACGTGTTGTGCTTCAGCTGCTGGGTTAATTTCTCCTTTGCATCCTGGTTGATTTGAGAGCGACTCAAATAAGCCACCTTAAGGTGGTTTGGAAAAGCCTTGTTGCTTTCAGTGGGGAACTGAAAGATGCTCGGAGCATCTGGTAAAATGTACATGCATTATTCAGAGAGGGATCCGGCAGCCCCAGGAAGAAGGTCCCCGGAGTGTTTTTGACTTTGCAAGAAGGGCTTCCCAGTTCAAGCATTGGGCACATGTTGAACTGCCTGCTTTTGTGCATGGTGTCTCAGAATAACTGAAGTCCCAAGAAATTCCCTATAAAACAGAGGCTGTGTTAAAGATGTTGCTCTTGGTATGAAAGTGTGCGTGAGGTTTCAAATGCATTGGGGACAATTAAACCTTTAGAAGAGCTTCATTAGTTATCTGGTAGATTCTGCTTTGCTTAAAGTCTAGTTGGACACTTGTAAAAGACTGGTTCAGCATCAGCTGGATGAGTGCAGGAGTTACTGGCAAAATCCAAAGTGCAAGAGTTCAGGCAAGATGACATGATGTTGCCTTTACCTATTGGTTTGTGCACCTAAAACAGACCTTTCAGTAAGTCTGTTTTAGTTGTAATCCAGATGCTACTGTCCAAGAGATGTGTTTTACATGATTGGAAACAGAATTGGATAACAGCCATTGAAGGAACTTACTCTAGATAAAATACCATGTATTTTACCCTCAAAATGTGGGAAGATTGGAGAGCCTTAGGGAGGGAGAGAACCCCCACAGTTTCAAGGGTTAATCTCTGAACTGTACAATTAGCTAAGAGTTGGCTGGAAAAGAGGAAAACAAAATGGGGGAACATGCAGTTAGAAAGCAGCAGGATGGAAAGTGTGGCAATTAGATGATCTCTAGACAAACATTGGTGGGACTTGCCACCTCCTATTCAGAAACAGCAAACAAAAGCATGCCAAAAGCTTTGCAAAGCTAAGGTGTTCCAGAATTAACTTCCCTGTGCCAGGTTTCATGGCTTTTGCCAAAGAAGGAGTGAAAGAGTACGTGCTTTCAGAGAAGAGGTAGCAGTCTCTTTCCCATCCCTGTGGGCTATGTGGTTTCCTCCCCATTGACCTGCAAACTATTTTTGCTGAAACCTTCAAATGAACCTGAGGGCTGTGCTAGACAATGAGGTGAGATTTCCTTACCAGGCAGGTGAAGTTGTAGGTAGGCAAGTTGTAACAGCAGTTTCTGCTTTGAGAGCAACTAGGAAATGTTCAGTTTATGAAAGATAATGGTAACGTTCTCTAGAGCTGCAAAGTTAATGCTTGTCAGTAGCAGTTAAGAAAGACCATTCTTTTAAGGAAGTGCAGCAAAAGTCATCCAGGGGGGAGGTTGTTTGACTGGATGTGGTAGCAGATTTCATCCACTTGATATATTCCAGCTCAGAGGTATCTGTTGAATCCATGTTGTTCCACCACTGGCGTCAGATACAGTTACATGCTGGGTTGCTTCCTCTGGATATGGTCTGTCAGTGGAATAAAAGTGCCTTTATTCCAAACATAAAGGAATCTGCTAATTCCTAACTTGGCTTCTTTTCTTCTCAGCCATCACAGTTGCAGGCACATACCCCTGCCAGCCAGCAGACTCCCCCAATTCCACCATACGCATCACCACGCTCACCACCAGTCCAACCTCACACGCCTGTGACAATCTCTCTGGGAACCACCCCATCCCTGCAGAACAATCAGCCCGTTGAGTTTAATCATGCCATCAACTATGTCAACAAGATCAAGAATCGGTTCCAGGGCCAGCCAGACATCTACAAAGCCTTCCTGGAGATCCTGCACACGTATCAGGTGAGTGTTAACACGGCAGGTCTTAGTATGTGCGTGGTTATTTCTCTTTCTTTGCCATGGGGAGCTAGCTGTATCGGTCCAAGACTTGCATTTGGGTCTTCTAGCACTAGCTAGTAAGCTAAGAAGAATTCTTGCAACTTACATATTGGCCTGAAATAATAGATTTTGGTCATCATCTTTGTGAGTGTCTGAAACGCCTTTTGAAAAATCATATTTGGAGTTTTTCCTTGAGCACGGGTCAGGAAGAGACAATGTGTCCACAGTACTACACTAAAAGTAAAGAAAGTACTTCCTTGGTCAGTGTCCCACTAATCCAGGGCCATATGGGTGTTTAGTGTGTATATATGTGTGTGTATATATATATATTAATATCTGGTGTGTAGAAGAATCATACTGTTAATGTAGCATATGAATATAGTATCAGTTCAGTGTGATTCTTTACCTAAGATGCTGAGATCTTTGATGTTTCATTCTTTCCCTCACTGAAGGTTTTGGGTTTTTTTCCCTTTGTCACTTCACTAGTTTATGCATCCATTCTTCTGATGCTTCTCCTCTTTTCCTATGGCAGAAGGAGCAGCGCAATGCCAAGGAGGCAGGAGGTAACTACACGCCAGCGCTGACGGAGCAGGAGGTGTACGCGCAGGTGGCTCGCCTCTTCAAGAACCAGGAGGATTTGCTCTCAGAGTTCGGGCAGTTCCTGCCTGATGCCAACAGCTCTGTGGTAAGTCATCTTGGGGATCAACTAGTGGGGGCCTGTTCTGTATGTAGCCGGAGTACAGAAAAACATGCTTTTGCTGTTTGTTTCTTGGTGGTTTCTTGGAGTGATCTTTTGACATTGAGGTGCTGGAGCAGGTCCAGAAAAGGGCAACAAAGCTGGTGAAGGGTCTGGAGAATAAGTATTATGAGAATGGCTGAGGGACCTGGAGGGGTTTAGCCTGGAGAAGAGGAGGCTCAGGGGGGACCTTATCGCTCTCTACAACTGCCTGACAGGAGGAGGGAGCCAGGAGGGGACTGGTCTCTGCTTCCCAAGGAACAAGGGATGGGACAAGAGGGAACAGCCTCAAGCTGCACCAGGGGGGGGTTAGATGGAGATGAGGAACAATTCCTTCCCCAGAGGGTGCTCAGGCATCGGAACAGGCTGCCCAGGGCAGGGCTGGAGTCCCAGTCCCTGCAAGTGTTCACACACCATGTAGATGAAGTCCTCAGTGCCGTGATTAGTGGTGGTCTTGGCAGTCCTGGGGTAAAGGTTGGACTTAATGATCTTAAAAGTCTTTTCCAACCTGGTTGATTTTATAATTCTATGATTTTATTTACTGGGAATGGGATCAGGGTGATACATACTGTGTTTTAGAGCCATAATTTGTCTTTTAAATACAATCTCCTTGTCTAAAAGGATTGGTCTAAGGCTGCAATAAGTGCAGTAAAATACACTGGTCATCTAGAGCTAGGAGGAGCAGGCATATTTTTCTGCCTCAATGTGTGGAACTCGGCTCTAATGGTCTTATGTGTTTGTCTCTAAATAAGCTGTTGAGTAAGACAACTGCGGAGAAAGTGGAATCAGTAAGAAATGATCATGGTGGCACGGTGAAGAAGCCACAGCTCAACAACAAACAGCAAAGACCCAACCAGAATGGCTGTCAGATCCGACGGCACTCGGGAACTGGAGCTACCCCTCCGGTGAAGGTAAGAGTGTGTGCTGCTCATTTAGCAGCCCTCATGTTCCCGGGAGGCTGTGGCAAAGCAGGGTGCTTTTTGGGATCTTTGTAGCACAGGCTGCAGCTTAACAACGCAGAAACTAATGCCTGCCTTTAAAGGAAGCTTTTTGAAGTCTTTGTTTGCAAGCCAAAGGCCTTGTCTCTGATTTTCACAGACTGGTGGTATTGTCTGTACCTGAGAGTGGTAATAGTGCTGGGGCAAAGTGACTATTGGGCTTGGGGGAAAATAGGGCTTTCCCCACCTTATTAGGACACTGCAGCATGTGGGTGAATAAAGCAGTGTTTGGTGATGGGTTCAAACTGAAACAGGGCAAGTTCAGGTTAGATCTAAGGCAGAAGCTCTTCCCTGGGAGGGTGCTGAGGCGCTGGCACAGGGTGCCCAGAGAAGCTGTGGCTGCCCCATCCCTGGCAGTGTTCAAGGCCAGGTTGGACACAGGGGCTTGAAGCAACCTGCTCTAGTGGAAGGTGTCCCTGCCTGTGGCAGGGGGTTGGAACTAGATGAGCTTTAAGGTCCCTTCAACCCAAACTATTCCATGAGGGAGAGATGCGGGGTGTGGAGGCAAAGGTCTCCGTAAAGACAAAAACCAAGTTGGTCCCAAATTTGTAGTGATGTTTCCATGGCATGTGGGAAAATAAGGGAAGGAAAGGTAAAGGTGCCTGAAAGCTTTGTTGTAGCAAAACTTGGAGCATATGCAGTTTGCTCATCTTCCCTGTGATAAACCTGATAATACAATGATGGATGATTATTCTCTTCGCAGAGTTTGCCCTTTTCAAATGACAGGTGTTTTGAGAGAGCAAGGCTTTGTAGTGTCATAAAACTTGTCCTGTGCTCAGATGGCTTAGTGTTTGTGCATTAAGGAGGAGTTTGCCTGCTCTATTTGAAGGTGGTGTATCTTGCTTTGTGAGAAAAAGCATTAGCAGGCATAATTGTATCAGTTAAATCCAGTGATTTACTTCCCCTTCTGCCCTTTCTCCTCCTCTTCAAATAAAGGGCAGCAAAATAAAACACGTTCTGGAGGCAGCTTTTGGCCTTTCAGAAGGTGCTGGTATGGGGAGAATAGAGGATCTGGTAGTGGAATAAAGCGAGGGAAAGAAATAGGGTAATTTTAGGGAGGTGGAAGACTTAAAAGAACTGGGTAAGAGGCAGGACAAACCAGATTTACTTTGGTCATTTCGCAAACTACTTAGAAAAAGGAGATACACTGTAGTGTGACTGTGGCAGTCCACTGGTTACAGAACAGCATGCAACAGTGTATTAAAAACATCCCCAGTTCTATGCTACTGATTAACCTTGGAGAGACTAACTTTTGACACAGCTTTCCGGCGAGTTTTCTCCCAAAACAAGAAGCCACCTTTCTTGGGTTTGAAAGCAGATGGTGGGGTCAGGAAGCCGCCACCTTTGTGGGACAGGTAATCCAAATATGGCAACATGCTCTGCTGAAAAGCCCTTTTCTTTCCCTCTTGCCTTTCTTTTTGTTAACAGAAGAAACCGAAGCTGCTTGGTTTAAAAGACCAGTCGTTGGCAGAAGCCAGCAAACATGGTGTGGGGACAGAATCTCTCTTCTTCGAGAAGGTGAGAAGCGAGATGCAGAGAAAGCCATCTCACATCACTGGTTTATGTTCCTGGAGTGCATACACCCAGTTTGTGATATATATGCAACCCTGATGACACTTCTCAGCTTGACCTCAGGTGTATGGTGCGACCTCCCAGTCAGATCTATTGATCTTTTTCATGTGGATATTTTCTTTTTCACCTTTATGAAACCCCAGCACCTGCAGTGTGGGAGCTCAGTTTACAAAGCAGCTGGTTCCCTTTGACATTGGGGTTTGGTTTTGTTCCTGAGAGCTGAATCTGATTAGTTGCACAGTTGTTACCTGTTGCTGGTTTGCCACACAGAACAAATGATGGATATGTGGGATGTTTCCTTGGTGTCTTCCCTAGGCTATCCCTACATTTCCTTATGGCTCAGAGGGGGCTCTATAGTGAACTTAAACAAGCCTTTTAAATAACATTCATGAGTCGATGGAAGTCTTGGTTGCTCCCTGATGATGGGGTGCATTTTGCAGCATGATGTAGGCCAGCTAATGGTAACTGGGAACCAGTCTATTGTGGAGGTGTTAACATGAATAAACTAGAAATCCCTGCTGTAGAATTCTGACTATAATGCCAAATATCTTAATGATGGTAGATCTCCATCTGATGCTTAGATGGTAACTGCTCTCCTGGGAAAGGTAATGGTGTTGGGATGAATCGTCTGGTTTCCTTGTGCTGTGAAGATAAGGGTTGCAGGAGCTGGCTTCTCTGTGATAACCCAAGCTGTAACACAGGCAAAGGCTGGAGCAGTGTTGCTCAGGGCATAACCCTGCACCCTACTTGCAATATTCTCTGGTGTTTAAAGGCAGCCTGGGTGGGTTTGTGGTGCTGCAGCTGTAACTGATGTTATCCACAATCCCAGCATCTCCTCATTCAGCTGTTAGGGGGTTCTTTGAGGGATTTCATTCTTCACTTGCAATTTCTTTCTCCAGAGTAGTGCACTGCGTGCTGATGTTGCAGGGCATGCCCAGCATGGGGATGGCTCACGTCAGTACCTGTGTGCCTGGCCATGTGTATGGGACAAGTTGCCCTCTGTTCAGCTCGCTCTGTGTTCTGGTTCCATGTGTAATCCCTGTGCACTGGTGGGAAGCACAGTGTCGAATCCAGGTCTCCTGGCCAGCGATAGCATCCACAGCTTAATCTCACCCTGACAGCAACTGTTTTCCTCTTTCCTCCTCTCTGGCAGGTCCGCAAAGCTCTGCGGAGCACAGAAGCATACGAGAACTTCCTGCGCTGCCTGGTTATTTTCAACCAGGAAGTCATCTCCCGGGCTGAACTCGTGCAGCTTGTCTCTCCCTTTCTGGGGTAAGTGGAGAGAAGTTGGAGCCACGTGCTCTGTTTCTGTTGTGGAGCCAGGAAACAAGAACTAACCTTTGTGGTTTCTCAGGGGAACGCATCTTGTGTGGTTGGGTGGCATGGAGGAGGATCACCGCTTTGAGAGCTGGGTGGTGGTTTCTTGGGCCACAAAGTACATCTGAGATGGAGTCCCCCTGAGCTGCAGCTGCCTCTGTGGCTGCTTGCCTTGACTTTTACCTGGTAGACATTAAGCCTACCACTGCTTAATGTCTGTCCACTAAATGACTGCATGAATTGCTGCTGTGGCAGCACATTCTCTCATCTCCTGTTGCCTGCAGCTCAGCCTGAGCATCACAAGTGTACGAGGTGAGGTGCCATGTGCTGCCGTATGAGCAGGAAAATACTGGTAGTTCTTGGAAGCCCTTCAGTGTGCTGGTGCCACGTGCTTTAGGCTTCCAGACTTTGCCTTTATTGGAGCAGGATAATAAGGGCCCTGCTTCAGTTTTCTATCCAACTTTACACTCTTGTATGCCACCCTTTTCTATTACTTATCCAGGAGGAGGTGAGAGAGGGATTCCCAGCTATGTCTTGGCATACAGACAGCGTTCAAGAGCAGTGCTGGTGCTGCTTGCTGTGTGTCTTCCTTTCTCAGAAGAGCAAACAGAATTATTTAGCAGCCTGTTACTGCAGTCTCTTGCTCTGGAATCATGAATTATTTTGTTTGAGAAAAGATTTGACTGTCTAGTTACATAGGAAATGTCTTCTTTAAAAGAGTGCTGATATAAACTCACTAAAATATCCAAAAAGCAGCTGAATTCTGTTGTGAAGCAAAATTAAAAAAAAGTGTTAAGGAATACTATAGTTTAAATAGGAATTAAGACTTCCATAATTGCCCGTAGTGTAGAGAAACAGCTCTGTATTAATCAGCTAAAACCAATGGATAGCCTCTCATCAAAACTTTGGGCAGCAAGAGTAATGTTCCTTCTTCCTGTGAACTGAGCTCTTGGTTCTAAGGGAGGAGGCAATAGCAACATAAATTGGGTTCAGGACCCCATTACACTAGCTACTGCGCAAAGAAACTGCCCCAGGGAGCTTCCACTCCCTCCTTAGCTCAGCTGGAATTGGTCAGGCATCAGCAGGATGCCACCTGTAGCTAGGAAAGGTGAAATATTTAACAAAACCCCCTAGATTTCTCCCATCTAGTGTCTGTGCTCCCAGCTGTAAGGGTGAGTATGTGTATTGGGCAAGGTATAATACAGTTTTCCTATTCTGGAGTTGGATGTTCCTGCCTGACATGTAATGAAAAGGCAATAAATGAGCAGTGATTCAATTAGCTTCAGTACCAGGTTCAATTCCTCATCTTGCTGGAGCTTTGCATGAGATAAGAGGAGTTGAATAGACGCAGTATTTTAGACTAATAAATTCTTCAGAAAGCTTTTCTCTACAAGCAGGCACGCTTGGGCCTTGCAGGCAAAGGCTTCCTCATTATTTGTGCTGGCATGTGTAGCGTGGGGAGGCAGCGCTAGTTGAAGCAATTGCTCAGCACTCAACCCTCTTGCCATGTAGTTACAGAATCACTCCTCAGTTTCCTCTTGCTGCTTTGGGAAAGGAAAGGTCTGATTTAAGGCTAAAAACATTTGCAAACAACTAGGAATCTGGCTTGGATTTGCTGCCGGGGTACACTGGGAGACCCAGATGTGACCTTGCAGTGAGTGCTGCTCCTGCAGTGACAGCTTTGGTTGCTCTTCCTTGTCACTTGTTTTGTGGGGACTGTACCCACAAGATGTGAGGGATATGTCAGTACTTGTCTCTGCATCTCTGGCAATCTGAGAGGGTAATCCTAAAGCATCTTAGTTGCACTGAGAGCAATCCACCACCTGATCAACAAACAGGTACTTGCTTCTCTGCCCGTGGCAGGGACTCGGTGTCCCTGCCCATGGCAGGGGTTCGAAACTAGGTGATCTTTAAGGTCCCTTCCAACCCAAACCATTCTTTGATTCCTTTTTGATCAGGCTCTGTGGAAGTGGGATTGAGCAACTAAGGGTCCTCACTCACCAGACTGGTAATTCAGAGGGTCTTCTTGGATGCAGTCTGGGTGTAGCAATCAGTTCTAGCCTCAGCATCACAGCTCAGCACTGTTTGATTTCTCCTTAGCCAGTTTTTCACTTCATTCGTTTTATTTTTAGGAAATTCCCAGAATTGTTCACTTGGTTTAAAAACTTTCTGGGGTATAAAGAGTCTGTTCACATGGAGACGTATCCAAAGGAGCGGGCTACTGAGGGGATTGCCATGGAGATAGACTATGCCTCCTGTAAAAGACTGGGCTCCAGCTACCGAGCCTTACCCAAGAGCTACCAGCAACCCAAGTGCACGGGGCGGACTCCACTGTGTAAAGAGGTAAGATGCCTTCTTGAAGGGATGGAGCAAGGTTGAGCAGAAGAGAACAGGATGGGGAATTTATTTTGCATCCCTGTGGGATGCTGGAAAGGTTCCTGGGGGTGTCAGGGCACGTCTGCTCCTGTGCAGCAGAGCCCAAGGTGAGCATACCTGTCTGTGTTCCTGGTGATGAGGAACACTTGGCACTCCTGCCAGCACCCGGATTGTGTCCAGACTCTGTAGCACAGGTGAGGTGTGAGTCTAGGAATGGGTTGTGCTGCAAGCTGGCTGGGAGTTGTGATCCCCACGTGGCTTTGATGGTTGGCATCAGCTCTCCCCCAGTGGTGCTTGTGAAAGGGTTGGGGAGCAACTGGAAACACCCCTCTGAATAGTTGCCATCTTTACCCACTTAAATCAAATGTAGGGGCATTAGATGTGTGTGATGGTTTAGGCAGTATAACCTGTGAGAAGAGCGTTAAGATTACAGACTTAAACACTAAGTAGGAAATGACAGAACTAGTTTTCTGTGTGGTCTTAATGTGATCCCAGGGATCTTTTACAAGGTAGTTTGTAATTCAAGATTATGGCTGCGTTTTTACCCCAGTTCCCTTTAGTCTGCTTCAGGTTTGTCTCTAGTCCAACTTTAAGAGAAAATCCTGTTTTCTGTAGACAGATTCACCCTCACATGCTGCTTCTTTCTACCTGGAATGCTAAGATGACCTCTTGTCTTGAGAAACAGTGCGTTGCTTTGGGAAAAAGGCTCCCTACAGGGAGCCAGCCTTCTTGGTCAAGAGTTAAAGCTGGTCTTCTGCAGGATCAGATGTACTCATTGAGCCCTTTAATGTGTTCTAATGGCCCTTTGCTCAAACTGGGGATGGTACTGGCTGATCCTGTTCTTTCACTGGTGTAGAAGGTAATGTTTTGGAGGTGAGTGAGCAGGACTCTTGCTAAAGGCCAGTTAATAAACATGCTGCTTAAGAGCATTCACTGGAGGAGGGGCGAGCCCCAGCAATCCCTCCCCTGGGTGCCTGCAGACCACAGATAGCAAGGAGATGATGCTTGGGAGCATCACAAGTTTTGTGTTCTTACCCTCCTTGAGAGATGAGGAGGACAAATGGGGGTGTCCAAGTCATGCAGTTAGCAGTGGTAATAGGTGTTCAGCTGGAGTGGGGGCAGGATAGTGCAAACAACCTGGAGAAAAGAGGGTTGCTTCTCATCTAAGCCCTGAGACGTCTCTCAAAAGTATCTTGTGTGATGCAGCTACAAACTTCTCTTCCTGTGAGAAGCCCGTGACTCACTCGTTCAGGCTTCACGTTTAAGACGACTGGGCCTGACTTTCAAGCCCTGCCTGCCAAAATCCTTGTTTCTTTGCCTTTGGCCTCATTGAGGTTGGGTTTTGAATGTTCTGTTCCTGTTCTGGAGGTGGTGAAAGCTGCAGTTGCTTGGTTGCTTGGTCAGGAAAGGTGTTGCTGGGGTATGGATTTCTACTCCCAATTAACCTTATTTGGAGGCAGAAACCACGTAGTGTCTGACAGTCAGGCCTGACGTGGTGACCACCCGGGAATGGCGATGGTGAATCACACACACCATGAACCAGCTTCTTGCAGCTGACTAATCTGAAGGAACAGAAAAGCTCCTTTCACCTTTCCTTTTCCCTTCCTTTGCAAGTGTTTTCTCCCAGCTCCAGCTAATGAGTTTTTCAGGCTGCCTGGACGATTCAGATCTCACTGTTGGAGGTGGCCCCGTGGATTTGGAAGGGGCACAGGCTGTTTCCAATGGGGAAATTAGATCCTCCCGTGAGAAGACTGAGCTCAGAGCCAGACAAGTGTGACCCTCTCAGAGGACTGACCATTGCTCTTGTTTCCCCCTGTCTTCCTCAAAGGTTTTGAATGACACTTGGGTCTCTTTCCCATCCTGGTCTGAAGACTCCACATTTGTGAGCTCCAAGAAGACACAATATGAAGAGCACATCTACAGGTGTGAGGATGAGCGTTTCGAGGTAAGCTGGTTTTCCTTGATTCGTGTCTTGGCAAGCTTGTGGTTCTGCAAACAGTTACTGCTCTTGATATAATTCTACCCTTACTCATACCCCAAATCTGTTTTTATTGTGCCTATCACCCATTTTTTGGCATAAAAGCTTGTGTTCTCTTAATGCAAGGAGCAGCTCAAGCTGCCCCCCACCCCTCACTTTGCGTGCAGAGCTCCTTCACGCTGCTCCAGATGGAATTGTTCAATGGTCAGCGTGTCATCGATGCATCTATTCCACTCTCACTGCCCACGTCGTGCCTGAGAGCATGCATTGCCCTGTAATAATCTGAAAAGCAATACGTTCAGGATGTTGTATGATTGACATCCTGACTTGAAGTGGAAGTTAGCTTGGCAACTACCTGAATACGCTCAGATTTGGCACGTCCTTTTGTAGAGTGACTGTCAATTGTGTTGTATTCCCAGGTGGAAAATGTAATTTCCAAACAGTATCGTTCTGGTAGCCTTTAAATTCTTAGGCAGTAGTACCCAGGTAGCAGATAAAATAGAATGGGATTATTTTAGAGCAGCCAAACATGGAAAGCACTGCTCAAGTACACCTTGTTAAACATGCCCTGCTTCTTGTTTCACGTCACTTCAACGTTAGCCCCTGTGAAGTATCATGTTTTGTCTGTTCACCGATGGCTAATGCACGGTTCCCTTCAGCTGGATGTTGTCTTGGAGACCAACCTGGCAACGATCCGTGTCCTTGAGGCAATCCAAAAGAAACTCTCGCGCTTGTCTGCCGAGGAGCAGGCTAAATTCCGGCTGGACAACACCCTGGGTGGCACCTCGGAGGTGATCCACCGCAAGGCTCTCCAGAGGATATATGCTGACAAAGCAGCTGACATCATTGATGGGCTTCGGAAGAACCCATCCGTGGCTGTTCCCATCGTACTGAAAAGGTACTGACTGCTCCAGCACCCTGCCCGGGGGCTCTGCCCAAGGGAAACCTGCCAGATGTGATCCAGATTGGTGTAGAAGTACTTAAATTTCTGCTGCTGTGACCTCCACAAGGCTTTATATTAAGCAGTACATTTTATGTTCTGATCTGTTGCTGTATTTCATCAGAATCGCCTTGAAAAAGAGGGAATTGCCCTTCTGAAATAAAAACCTTGAAGCTCAGCTGGAGGGATGGAGAGCTTCTGTTGTTTCCTCTTAAACCTTGTTTTTTCCCTGGTGTCAGCATCGTGTGTAAGACAAGGGAAGTGTGTACTGTTGTTCCAGGGCTAAGCTTGATCCCATCCCAAACCCCACGGCTGTACATGGCTGTGGGTTCAGGTTGTGCTAGCCTCAGGTCCCCAGTCTGGTTTCTGTTGTCAACCTCCCCTTCCTCAGTAAAGAAAATGCAGTGGATGCTGCAGCTCTTTGGGGAAGCTTGAGGAGATGTGTAAGCAGGAGGTGCTCCTCCCTAGCTACTTCTCACCTCTGTGGGGCTGTTGGTCCCGTGCCTCTGGCAGCTGGGGGTAACAGCCTTGCCCAGGACCTTGAGCTGCATCAGGGGTGCTTTGCTTGAGCTACTGAGTGGAGGTTCAGGAGTCCGTTCCCAGGAAGCTCAGGTGTCCATGCTGCAAGGGAATGACTTTGTTAATCATCCAGACTAAGCTGTTCCTTCCAGCAGCTGGAGCTACATGACTTTCTGGGGGTGTCCAAGAGACCTGGGCTACCTCTGTGGCACTCTTGTCCCTTGAGCCCATCTCTCTTCTGCAGACGGTGGGGCTGGGAGGGGACACTTAAGCCCCCTAGCTGTCCTGGCATGCCACAAGGTTTTCCTTATATGCTCAGAGTAGACCTCTTAGCTCACCTTTGTTTTCTTGATCCCAGGTTAAAGATGAAAGAGGAAGAGTGGCGAGAAGCCCAGAGAGGGTTTAATAAAGTCTGGCGGGAGCAGAATGAGAAGTATTACCTGAAATCCTTGGACCACCAGGGCATCAACTTCAAGCAGAATGATACCAAGGTCCTGAGGTCAAAGAGTCTCCTCAATGAGATTGAAAGCATCTATGATGAGGTGAGACGGTCACTAGTAGTTTCCTTCCCTCAAGCTTGTGCACTTTGCAAGTGCAGTTTCAGTTCCTGTTCCTCACTGCTCAGTGCTGGTGGCACAGACTCACTCTCCGAGCTTTCTGAAAGGGTCTTGGGTGGAAAGAAGTGTTTGGGATTCATTTTTGTGCTGTGTGTTTCTCATTTGTAGAGGCAAGAGCAGGCTTCAGAAGACAATGCTGGAGTCCCCACAGGCCCACACCTATCACTAGCCTATGAAGACAAGCAGATCCTGGAAGACGCTGCTTCTCTCATCATCCACCATGTGAAGCGGCAGACGGGAATCCAGAAAGAGGACAAGTACAAAATCAAGCAGATCATGTATCACTTCATTCCAGACCTGCTGTTTGCTCAGCGAGGTGAACTCTCAGATGTGGAAGAGGAGGAAGAAGAGGAAATGGATGTGGATGAAGCTACTGGGGCTGCAAAAAAGCACAACGGTGTTGGGGGCAGTCCTCCCAAAACTAAGCTGATGTTCAACAACACGACGGCCCAGAAGCTGCGGGGCATGGATGAGGTCTACAACCTCTTCTATGTGAACAGCAACTGGTACATATTCATGCGGCTGCATCAGATCCTGTGCTTGAGGCTGCTGAGGATCTGCACCCAGGCCGAGCGGCAGATCGAAGAGGAGACGCGGGAAAGGGAGTGGGAGAGGGAAGTGCTGGGCATAAAGCGAGACAAGAGTGACAGTCCTGCCATCCAGCTGCGACTGAAGGAGCCGAGTGAGTGCCTCTGGTGGGAGGGAGCTGGGGAAGGAAGATGCTTCTATTTGTAGCACATTGACAGGGCTTGTTTGGTGTCTTCAGTTTTATATGTCTAAAAGACTTAAACAGCCTCACAGAGGAAAGCACATGACTCTTCATCAGGGATTGTAGTGATAGGACAAGAGGTGTAATAGGTTCAAACTTAAACAGGGGAAGTTTGGGTTGGATATAAGGAAGAAGTTCTTCCCTGTGAGGGTGCTGAGGCGCTGGCACAGGGTGCCCAGAGAAGCTGTGGCTGCCCCATCTCTGGCAGTGTTCAAGGCCAGGTTGGACAGAGCCTTGGGCAACATGGTCTAGTGGAAGGTGTCCCTGCCCATGGCAGGAGGTTGAAACTGGATGATCTTAAGGTCCTTTCCATCCTTAACCATTCTATGATGTGATTTTATGATAAAATTAGGAAAGTACCCATGGCCTTAAAAGGACTCTTTAAGTGTCTATAACACACACATTTAAGCCTATTCCAGTAACTTTTCAACTTGAACAGGTAGTCTGAGGACCAAACCTCCCAGTAGCCCTTCCTAGGGCTGGTGTGTTCATGTCTCCCATTATCTCCTGTTGTAGTGGACATCGATGTGGAGGATTATTACCCAGCCTTCCTGGACATGGTGCGCAACCTCCTGGATGGGAACATGGACTCGTCGCAGTACGAGGACTCCTTGCGTGAGATGTTCACCATCCACGCCTACATCGCCTTCACCATGGACAAGCTGATCCAGAGCATTGTTCGACAGGTGACTGCCAGCAAAACCTGGAGGGGGGATGCTCCAGGGTGGAGAAAGGAGCCGGGTTGTCGGCTGCAGTGGGAGCCTGCAGGGGAGGGGGAGTGTTGAATGCCTAAATGGAGAGTTTTGGGGGTAAGCAGGAAAATTCTGGGTGGTTTTTAACTCTGCTCTAACACTGATGTAAAGAGAAATGTTAAGAAACATGGAGCTGCTTGAGTAAGTGGGCCAAGGAGGGTGCAGAGCTGCTGCAAGGGCTGGAGCAGCTCTGCTCTGGAGCCAGGCTGAGAGAGCTGGGCTGGGGCAGCTGGAGAAGAGAAGGATCCTCAAGGGGAGACCCTAGCGCCCTAATGGGGGTCTACACAAAAGGTGGAGAGGGGTTTATGCAAGAGCATACAGTGATAGCACAAGGGGAATGGCTTTAAGCTGAAAAAGGGGAGATTTAGATCAAGTATTAAGAAAAAGGTCTTCACTACGAGGGTGCTGAGGCGCTGGCACAGGGTGCACAGAGAAGCTGTGGCTGCCCCATCCCTGGCAGTGTTCAAGGCCAGGTTGGACACAGGGGCTTGGAGCAACCTGCTCTAGTGGAAGGTGTCCCTGCCCGTGGCAGGGGTTGGAACTGGGTGAACTTTAAGGTCCCTTCAATCCAAACCAGGCTGGGATTCTATGAAAACATAATTTCTGCTGTATTCAAACTATTGAGACTATCCTCTCTGAGTGTGTATTTTCCCTTTGTTTTCCAGAAGTTTTAGGATATAAGTATTCCACTTCAAAGTGTCTCCAGAGCTAATCTTGCTTTAACTCTGAAAAGGAATTAAGTGACATCTAAATAATTCCTTTCCTTTTCACACCAATGCTGTAGGAGCAGCCTCTTCTAAACAGCTTTGTCTCTTTTATCTGGCTGTTTGAGTAGCTCATTTTGGCTGTTAAACTCTAGTTCTTTTATTGGGCATTTAGGAAGAATGTGTGACCACGGAAAAAATTCTTCATGTGCCTTTTAGTAGCCTGAAGAACAGAAATGGACACAAGGGGCTGGAAGTGAAATAGATTGAAAGGTCTTGCCTCTTTCAGAAGGGCAGAGCTGCTTTTCAGAAGCCCTCTGCTTTCAGACTATCTGAATTCAAAAGACAGTTGAGCAACTTTTGATTCTTAAACTTATGCAAAATAAGGACTTGATACTAAATTGCTCACCCCTTTCCTCAGCCACAGCAGCAGCCCCTTGCTGAGGAGGGGACACACCATGGCACGGTGCTCTAGCCCTTCGTCCCCTGGGCATGCAGCAGACTCCCTGACAAACACCTTCCCTGTGTTCTTCCTTTTCACAGCTCCAGCACATAGTGAGCGATGAGATCTGTGTGCAGGTAACAGACCTCTACCTGTCAGAGAACAACAACGGAGCAACAGGAGGGCTTCTCGCTTCCCAGTCTTCTCGTAGCCTTCTGGAGGCCGCCTACCAGCGCAAAGCGGAGCAGCTCATGTCGGAGGAGAACTGCTTCAAGGTAAAGCAGGGCTGTGAACCATGGCATAAAAGCAGCAAGCAGTGAGGGGGATGCCTTTTAGGAAGGGAGGGGCACAGTCCTTTACAAAAGGAGCCTTGTTTAGCACCCAAGGGCGCTGAGGACTTTTCTGTTGCTCTGAAGTTGAAACTGTTGGTGGCACGTTGTGGGGGTTTAACCCCAGCTGGCAACTGGTAGCACACAGCTGCTTGCTTACTGCCACCCCGCTGGGATGGGGGAATCACAGAGTAAAAGTGAGTAAACACGTGGGTTGAGATAAGGACGGCTTAATAGGTAAAAGCAAAAGCTGCACATGCACAACAAACAAATCAAGGAATTCCCAGCTTCCCATCAGCAGACACTCCAGGACAGCAGGGCTCCATCACACGTCACAGTGACTTGGGAAGACAAAACACCATCACTCCAGATGTTTTCCCCTTCCTTCTCCTCCTCCCAGCTTTATATGGTGAACATGATGCCACATGGTGGGGGATATCCCTTGGGTCAGTTGGGGTCAGCTCTTCCTGGCTGTGTCCCCTCCCAACTCCTTGTGTACCCACATCCTCCTCACTGGTGAAATCCAAAACGTACCCCCATCCTACCTGCTGTGAAGAAAACTGGCTTCATCCCAGCCAAACCAGCACACAGCTTTTGGCATGTAGGTTAATGCCTCTGTAAGGGCCCCTGAGAAGCAAGGTTTCAAGGAGAACTACATTTCGTGGAACAGCAGTGAATATCCCTTGTGCTTCCACAACATCTTCAGCTTGTATCGTATTGACTGCTTTGCTGTCACTGGTTTTCATTTGTTAGTTCAGACTCTCCCATTTCTCTTGTGTCTCAATCTTTTTGTCAACTGTGGGGAGAGCTGTGAATACTGACAGGGCATTAAATCATTGCTGACTGGATCTGTTGCTAAATAAACCTGGTGCACTGTGCTAATCAAATCCATACTTCCTTTGCCTGAGATGCAGGAAGTGGTCAGGCCCTTTCTGAGCAACTTAAAGTACTTTAGACAAAAGCCTGTGTGTACAATCTCTCTTCCCTTGCCCTCAGACTTATTTTGGGGGCTGAAGGACCAGCATCACTCCAAAACCAACAACAAACAGCTTTGCCATTTTCTGGTCCCTGAAAGGCTGTGCAAGTTGAGCAGGGTTTTCCCTGGGCTGTCAGTGCACAGCGTTTTCCTGTAAACCTGTGCCAACTTGCTTCATTCTCCCTTTGCCCCAGTGAGAAGTGGAGATTGTTTCTTCTAATTGAAACCCCTCCTGAAGCCTCTTCTCCTTTTTCTTTGTAGCTGATGTTCATTCAGAGCAGAGGTCAAGTTCAGTTAACCATTGAACTGCTGGATACAGAAGAGGAGAACTCTGATGACCCTGTAGAAGCAGAGGTAAGAGCAGCTTGTAGTGAGAGCTGACTGATGTCCAGTTGACTGTTGTGTGGACCGTTAGCCAAAGATAAAGAGACATCAAGGACACACTGTAAAGCTTTCAGTGGTGTGAGAAGGCAAATCCTTCTTGGTTTCTTTTGTGTTAGAAAGCCCTCAGAACCATACAGAGAGTCACTGTACCTGCCTTTATGGGGATTAGATGCACAGAGCCTTCAAAAATGACCTTGTGTTCACATATATAACTTCTGTCCCACATTGGCTGGTGGGAAGGCAGTGGCTGACGTGTGCTCTGTGCTCACTTGCAGCGCTGGTCAGACTACGTGGAGCGGTACGTCAACTCGGATTCTACCTCCCCTGAGCTCCGGGAGCACCTGGCCCAGAAACCAGTCTTCCTGCCGAGGTGAGTGGCCAGGCTGGGCTGCAGGCCCCACCTGATGGGCTGTATCTGCTGGCCTCAGAGGGCAGAGCTGGGCTGTCACTCACCTGCATCTTAATGCAAAGGCTGGTGACTCGCCAAATGGGGTTTTTGGCAGTCCTGCCTTGGCTTATAGTCACCCTCTACTTAAAAACAGTGGGTGCCACGTCAGGGTTTTTCATGAGCAGGGAGCTGATGGCACAATAGCCATAACTTCAGAAATGAGAAACCCAGTGGGCTGACTCGTCGTAGGGGTCTGAGCCTGAATGACTGCAGCAGGCAGTTGTGCTCTGAGCTGTTTGCCAGGCGTTCGAGAGGCCAGCACAGCTCCACCACGTCTATCCAGGCTGGGAGTGCTAGGGGGTGAGCACTAATCCCAAGAGGGGTTCTCTGGTTTGCAGGAATCTCAGGCGGATCCGTAAGTGTCAGCGCGGTCGGGAGCAGCAGGAGAAGGAAGGGAAGGAGGGAAACAGTAAGAAGTCCATGGAGAACGTGGAGAGCTTGGACAAGCTGGAGTGTAAATTCAAACTGAACTCCTATAAGATGGTGTACGTGATCAAATCGGAGGATTACATGTACAGGAGGACCGCTCTGCTGCGAGCTCAGCAGGTAATAACAGGCAGGGTTACTCAGATTTGCTTTTGGTTCTCTGTGCCAAAAGTAACTGCTGGGACAAGGGAAGGAGGAGGTGACTGGGATGGCATGGGAGGGAAGTGTTGGCTCTTTGGCTGTTCTTGAGCTGTAAAGGTTGAGGCTTATTCAAGGTGAAAGCAGCCCCTGACTCCAGATCAGTCAAATTCCGTTGGAGAATGATGATTTGGTCTTCTGAATGCTTTGACACTCACTGACTTTTCTCATCCCACAGGAATATTTCCACCCAATAGAGAAAAGCAGGGAGCTTTAACAGCAAACTCCAGTTTTAGTCTATTTAGACTTAAGATTTACAATACTTGGCTTTAAATTTATTATAATCTATTTAAAACACAACATTAAGCAGAATGCTGCTGCTTAAAATGTAAAAGAAAGTGAAACCTGCCAGATTCAGGCTAAATTACTGACTTAAGCAACCAGAAGCAGAGGTTCTGGGGGCTCTGTGTGCAGGAGTCTCCTCTGCAGCTGCACAGCTTGCTTTCAGCTGATTAAATCACTTGCTTTCTGAGCAAACTACTGACCACTGAGAACACTGACTGGGAGCTGAGGGAGTGGGAGAGGTGCCCTGCTTCCTGCCCTGTAAATCATCCTTCACAGCTCTGTTTCAGTCATGTATTTGGACTCCTAAAACAATGACTCGCCATCTGTTTCTTGCTAATGAAATACAAATAATGGGTTTATTTCGTTAGGTGTAAAGTGATTTTGTTAAACTGACATTCGCACCAGATGAGAGTGTTTTCTTTCAGTGGTGACTCCTTGAAACGCTGATGCTGAGGATTTTGATTTAATCCCATCCCTCCCATTCAGCTGGCACAAACCTCCAGTGTTTTTCACAGAGAAGCTGAACATAAATCAAATTATTGAGCTGTTAAATATAGAGCACAGCCCCTTGGTTACTGAAGGAGCTGCAGAACGAAGCTTCGCTGAACTACAGATATATTGGATTTAACAGTTAACCCTGAGAAAGTCAGTCTTTGGGAGAAGAACAAAACAAATAACAAAATACATAAGTTTTGATCTGGAGGTTTAATCATATTTGCTGGTTTCAATTATGGCTGTAGTCATGGCTTTAAACCAGCTCTCCTGGATCTTACATTCCTTAAGCAGATGCTCTCACTCAACAATGGGTGCAGTTTTTCCTCTCCTGATGCTTCTGCTTAAGCCAGTGGTTCTCAAACCTTTTAGACCTGACCTGATTCTTAACTTTTCATTGCAGGCAGGTCCCCACATGTCATGCATGTTTGCTCTCCCTTGGGACCCTGCCCCTCCATGGGGAACTGGAGGCAGCCCCTGAGGAGAGCAGGGCTGGTTTATTCCAGGCTCTGCCTTGGCTCCCGGCTGCTTGAGGAGGAGGAGGAGGAGAAGGTGGTGGCAGGATCTTCTGGGCAATGCAGAAGGAACTTGGTGCTGGGCGTGCAGCTCCTGGGCTCCCACAGGTTGCGTTTGGTGTCCCCAGTGTGAGAGTTTAAAGCTTTTGGCATTTCTGAGGTCATTTTGGCACTGTCATTGGCCTGAGAAGAGGTCCAGGGGCTGATGCCAGAGCTTTTCCCCAGCTGTAAGCCAGGGCTGGTGTGTGGCTGGTGATCCCCTTGGCTGCCTTTTTCTAACCCTTGTTCCTGTTTCTGTAGTCCCACGAAAGAGTGAGCAAGCGGCTGCACCAGCGGTTCCAGGCCTGGGTGGACAAATGGACCAAGGAGCACGTGCCCCGTAAAAGGGCAGCCGAGACAAACAAATGGCTCATGGGCGAAGGGTTGGAGGGGCTGGTGCCCTGCACCACCACGTGTGACACAGAGACCCTGCACTTTGTGAGCATTAACAAGTACCGCGTCAAATACGGCACGATATTCAAGACACCCTAAAGCTCCCCCGGGGCGAGGGAAGAGCCCGGGAGAGGTGTGTGTGTGTGCGCGCATCAAGGAAAGGAGGAAGATGCCTTCCTCCCCTCACTGAGTATCTCCGAAACATGGCCACTTGACTAGTGCGTGGCTGGTACACCCTGTCACCAGCGGGATTCCCTGTGGGGACGCGGATTTCCGCCAGCCCTTGGACTCGGGCACGTGTCCCCCGAGGGCGGGAAGGACCCTTCTCTGAACTGAGCCACCCCAGAGAAACGCAACGAGCTCGTACACACCAGCAGTGTTGAGGCTTTGACTCCCCGCGGGCCCTGAGCGCCGAGGGAAGAGACCCGGAGGCTTCTCCACCACCGGACCGCTTGGATGTGTCCCGAACTCCCTCCCAGGTGCCTGTCCTGACCGGCTTCCCCTGCCGCGGGGCGGCCCGGCGGCACCTCCGGAGCGGAGCCTGGGTTCCTCTCGCCTCCTTCTCATCCCTCCTGGGCTGGGCTCGCCCCGTGCAGATCGGTCTGTCCTTTCTAGTGCCAGTGGAACTGTTTGGTTTTGGTTTTTATTTCATTTTGGGGGGGTTATTTTTTGTACCTGCTTGTTTACTAGTCTCTCCTAGTGCCATGCACCAGCTTTTCACACACATGTACGTACACACACACAGCAGAACAACACGATTTTAACATGTTCCCCTCCTTTTTTCTTTCTTTTTTTTTTCTTTTTTTTTGTAAATAAATGTACAAATTGTCAATTTTGGGGGTTTTTTTGTTTTTGTTGGGTTTTTTGGCTTTTTGGGGTTTTTTTTTGTTTTGTTTTTTTTTTTTTGGCTTTTTGGGGGTTTTTTTTTTTTTTTTTTTTTTTTATTAAAGGAAGTATGCTTGATGTGCTAGCATAACTGTACTAGCTTCTTGTGTACCATAGTACCAGGTGGCTTGAGACTTAGTACTGACAGACCGATGGAGACATTTATTACACTTTTTACCAAAGGGAGTTATCATTGTAGTGCTTTTGTGTGGAAACTTTTTCTCCTCTTTTTTTCTTTCCTTTTTTTCTTTTTTTTTTCTTTTCTTTTTTT